TAAATGTAGGATCATATAGTGTCATATGTTAGGAAAATGAAATTTATTAAAATGAATGTCAGGTTACTATTTTCTAAAAACGCATATATGATATCTGATTTTTTGTTAGTTTCACTTTCGAACTACTTGATAGCTATTCTAAAATGAAGGATTCATATTTAGCTTGATCTGAAAAGCAAAATGAAAAGTATTTTTTTGTGAAATGAAATACGTTCAAAAAGTGCCTAAAGAAATCCTGAACAGACTATATTTGACTATAATAAGTAATTTTTTCAAATGGTTTTTGGTGTCGTATTTTTTTTTCCACAGCCGACCATCACTTTTTGTTACTTTATTGATGTAGCCGAAATCCTAAAATAATTTGATAAATTTTCACCGTTTCTGGGATTTTGGAACCTTAAAGTTAGACGAAAAATGATGCTTTTCTGGGATAATATTGCTGCAGCACCCGGTATATGTAGCAAAATACATGACTGTATGAATTATTAGTTCTATGATTGCTTCTATGAGTCCCAACTCCCGCATTGTTAAGGCAAAGGTTAGATTCACGACTGAAGGTGGTTAGATTCTATGTTCATGTTACTTTGGGATCACAATATACTGAGTGACTGCCGTAGTTTTTAATACCGATAAGTCAAAGTGTTCTGATTGGCCGAATTCGGTATAGGTCAAGTTTAGTATGGATCCAGACAATTGGGAAATTCGTGAAATCTATTAAAAACACATGATTGTATAAAAAAATGTCTGTTCATTTAACTTGCGAACTATCTGACTTGCAGTTTTAGTATGTAGTCTAAATATACTCCATATATTTCGTTGGAATAGAGATAAAAAAACCTTCATTTGAACTTCAGCAAAGTGTATTTTTCAAACAATGGACTTTTTTGTACCTTCATTATCTGAAGTTTATAAATCGGTTAACAAGTCAATCTTTAGATGTATGAAACGAACAAAACGAATTTTATAGAATTGAAAACCGTGCATTCATGTCTTAAAAATATTGCAACTTGAAACTCAGGGTAGACCAGTGGTAGTGGGAGAATAAAGATTTCTCAAAATTTCTTCATTTTCATTGTATCTTTTTATAAGGTATGCAATTTTGCATATTAGAAATTTCGATTGCAGGTAGTGGGTTCAAAACTAGTCAAATTTTCTATTCTTGTAGCTTGTACTGTAATAATACGATAATCATAATTTATTCGAGAACTTCCTGAATTGATTATGTATTGACATGTTAACTGATGAAAGTACCTTTTATAAAAAATACAGTTTTCATTTTTCGACCGTTGCCAGTAAGTTTAAATGAAAAAAGATGCTTAGTTACAAAACTTTTAGCATCAAGATACTTAGTATTTCTTAGATTTTTTGTTTAGGATAACGGTTGTGTGATGTAGAGATTTTAAACTTATTCTGTGATTTTGTTTGTATATTTCAAGTGCTTACGTGCTTATCCTAAATGCTCGAATATCACCGTTATATTTATCATTTGAATTGGATTCCAAAAAGATTTCAAAGATATTTTTATCATTGAAACTCGTTTTTGTGTGTGCCAAAATTCTTCAAATTCGAAGTTTTTTTTATTTTTAGGTGAGAATTATCTCAAAATTTTTTGTGATAAAGGAGATGTTATCTAGGCATATTTTTCACACAACATTGACTGAATAATATAAATTGTTGAAATGCTTATTTTTTAATACCTTTAAGTCTCTATCGGAGAATTTCTTGAATAAACGTTTACTTTGCCATGATCTAACATTTTTGCGGTATTGCCGTTTGGACTGATATTGCTTTGAAATGCTTATTTTTCAATAGCCTTATGTCACTCATGTGATGATTTACGTGGAAAAAGTGTTCATTTAAGTATAAGCTGATGGTATCGCCATTTTGAAAGACAATTCTAAGTGTCTGTATCATATGTTTCCATCAAACTCGTGCTACATTTTGCCTTTTATGAACGTATTCTACCTGAAGATAGCCAACATATATTCGCGCTCCCGAAAAATGATCCGAGATGACATGAGATACTGTAGCGTCATCTACGAGAATTTGTTACAGATATGTTTCTCCTTCCCGCACTCATTGGAAATATACTTTGAAAAGGCAAATGTCTCATATATGGCGCTGTAGCCAACTATATAATATAACCTTTTCAAAGTAGATTTCTTATTATTGCGGGCAGTAGAAACATAGATGACGCTATGGTATCTTATTTCATTTCTGATAATTTTTTGAACGCGCGAATGCAGTATTAGGTTAGCTATCTTCAGGTAGGATACGTTAATAAATTATTTTGCAAAAATCTCCACTAACTTGAATAATCTAGAAGTAACTGAAGATTCTACTGGTTTGAAATACATTGCTTATTAGATAAGCTACTTGAAGTTAGATAATTTATCATTAGAAACTTTGACTGATTATCTCTTTCATAGTATATATATATTTAATAATTAATATTTTAGCTTTAATTTCCTTGCTATCTTTGAAAGACGTATTCAAAATATAAGCAGTGTTATGATAAAACAAATTTGATAGAAAACCATTTTTTGGGCCGCCTAAAAACAGTAGTGAGTTTTGGTAATCACAAATACTGCATACGTAAACGTTATCATTAATCTTATTTGACATTTAATACACGAATCATTGACTTGAATTGTGAAATGTGGGCAACGTTTATACATGAGGTATCTGTCAGTGCTAAAACTACGCAAACACGAGCTTATTTCAATGCTTCTTATATTTTCAATGCGCAAATCAATGTTTATAGTATAAAGTTATCAAATTTGACTAGATCGATAATCAAACTCACTTCATCCAGCCTTATTGCAATTAAAATTTGAGAGTTCAACTTGTAGGACCGAATATGTGATATAAAAATGTAATATAGGCAGCATATATATGGTGAATCAGAAAAATGCGTCAATATTTCTTGGGTAGAAAGTACATCCGAAAATAACAAAAAAAGTTATAAAAGATATAATAATATACTATCGCCTTTTGATGATTGGTTATTTATTGAACTGTATGCGACTCAATCTACAAAAACGCTCAACTTTTGACAGCATGTCAGTTCTTTTTGTTCAAAGATGGTATTATTATATTCTAGGGTCATAAACTACACATAAGGAGCTTTATCTTCAACTGTCACTTTCAGCTTGCTAACTTACCCGTTCAAAGAATGAACAGGAGAGGAGGGGCTTTTCAAAAAGCACTGTATGAGATTTTCATATTTTTTTATCTACTTTATGCCCTAGAAATATCGAATCGTTTTTCTGAGTCGCCCTATATATACATAGAACTAGAACCCAGTACATTTCATATATCCCAAGAAACCAATGCTGCTTGGTTCAAACGCAGTTTATAAGAGTGTCATCTCAAAAGTAGTCTGTTATCTCCTTAAAGTACAAATACGATTTAATTCATTATTATGTATCTTGAACATTGGATTATCCTCGCATCAAAGATCGTTTGAACCATGGATCTATTGGTATAGTGTTACGCAATCTAGGGATCTATGTATAGTTTTTTTATGAATCCGCAGTAATTAATGCTTGATGTGTTTGAAACATGTTTACTTCTGTTTTGATGTGATTGCATGTACCTAAAAGGTAGTAGCTTAAAATAAACTCCAGTATGTACGATATGTGGTAAAGAATGAGCATTTTTATTACTATAGAATATTTTGTTGTGAAAGATTTATTGTGACTTTAATTTTTCGTATGTATTCAGAAGTCCGTTTTATTTATTTCAACGTTATTTTTGTATATGACAATAAATATTGCTCTTTTTAAATTGGTTGTTTTAATTTTTAAATTACATTTCCGTGCAAAAGTAGATAGGAAATCTGATGATCGCACGTACCAATGGTTTGCCAAACTGATTTTCATCCTCATCGCATACGAAGACGAGAGAGATACCCTTAGGTCCTCTGGTCCATAACCGCTCGACGTCTGCGTGATGCACAGAGATGTCGTACCACACCAATATGACGGTCGACTGTCATGTGGTCGGAATACTAAGTATTCACACAGCAAACCAGCAATGGCTTTTTATGCATATGACATGACACGGCTGAAATTGACATGTTTGCTTTCCGTCTATGTAGCAGGCAGCGCAGTTTCGTGCTCATCAGTGAGACAACTAACGGGAAGCTAACAAGTGGGAATGGTCTTTTGAAAAACTCGATACATTGTTCGCAAGCAGGTGGAAAATCTGACGATCGTCACTTAACAATGGTTTGCCAAACTGTTTTTATCCTTATCTCATAGATTTCCCATCTACTTGCGCACAATGTTTTTTGAGTTTTTTCAAAATACCATGACCACTTGTTTAATTCCCGTCTATCTGTCTCCAAGACGAGACTTGTACCGCACTGGTGAATTGCTAATGAACACGAAATCATGGTTACAGAGGCGGAAAGTAAATGTCAATTTCAGAAGTTACCTACATTTTCTGTTAATTTCTATGCGGTGTTCGAAGGGGTGGGGTTTTTTGGCGGTCATAATAAATTTCGGGTGTCCCAAATTACCCTAGTGCACAGTTTCTCTCGCTAGTGGGTAATAGGAAAATAGAAATTTTGCGTTTTGAATGTTCTAAAGTTTAAAGATATACTGTAAAAAAAACAAAAATCTTGCGTATCCAATATCGACTAAAATCCATTTCTTGGGTGAATCGGGTGTGAAGATCACGAATCTGCTAGGAGCTTTTCGCTGAGAATAAATGCTGTGTATACGTTTTTCATAATTTTCCAAGTCAACTTATAGATCTCTCTTTTTAATAGGACTCCAATATCTGGCCGAACCAAATCACATGCATACATCTTTCAATTTCTCTTTATTGTACGATGTTTCGACCATTACTCTGACCTTTTTCAAGACACTGGTTAAATTAAAATATAGAGAAAATAAAACATACATATATGTGGTTTTTATTCGAATAGACAATGAAGTCCGATGAACATGAAAACTACGTGATAAGCTTAGGAGTTATTTTTGATGTTTCAGAAAATGCCCTCCACATTTGTTTGCACCTTTAATCAAAATAGTGATAGAAGAAATGAGAAAGGCGTGCAAGAAACATCCGCCAATTTGTGGATTCAGTCCAGATGATAACGGTAAGTCTTTGTACTTTAAAAAATAGACTAAAATATTAGTGCTCTGTTATTTTGAAAACTTCTTGTTGGCAAAAATCACGACTGTTGTGAACAGTAATAATCAACCGTATTGGATCACATATGTTATCGAAATAAAGAAGCATTTTTCACATTTAGCTTTTGGAGATTATTACTTTCAAATGTCTGCTGTTGATGCGGCTAACAGAGGGTTTTTAATGCTCTTGTTTTGCTACTTCATTATGATCTTCCTTATTTCGCGTTTGTGCAGTAGCGAGACAATGCTTCGTTCTCCGTTATCGAAATAAGAAAGCTCCGTTAGTTATGGTTTCCATTACGTTTTGATATCTACTGAGGTGAACAGCTGACTGTCAGTACTGTCAAATTACCACGGTTCACTTTAGTGGTCATAACAACTTTTTTCGAGAAGCTGTTAAAGTTGAGCGTTTTTGTATATTAAATCGCTTACAAGTTAACAACAATCATCAAAACGTTATAGTACGTATATATTATATCAATTCTCTTCTTTTGGGAGAGTCTATCTAAATGTGCAATAAAATAAGGGACATTCAGGTTGAAAGAAATTTTACAGTTTTTGACATTTTTTTAAATGTTTAATATTTTATTACAAATTTGGAAGACCTTTCCAAGAGAAAAATATTGATTTAACATAGTATAGCGTTTTGATAATTGGTTGTAGGACTATAAGCGACTCAATGTACTAACAAGCCTAACTTTGACAGTCTGCCAGAATGCCGTTTACAAGGTATTTCAGGGTTAAAAAGTACTCATAAGTAGGTTCAAAGTTGAGTGCCACATGACGCCCATTCCAAATAGATGTTCCAAAGTGTCGAACAGCCGATATATACATGGTGTGTCAATTAAATTCCGGGAATTTGTCAATAAAAACAAGGAAATCAAATTACACGTAAAATTTTATTATCGACCTTCACAATAGTCCCCATTTAACTCTACACAACGATTCCATCGCTGTTCTCACGATTCAAAACAGCCTTGGTAATCCTCTGAAGTTAGCCTACGCAGCACCTTCGTTACAGCTGCTTTCACCTCCTCTGTGCCACCATGATGAGTTCCTTTGAGGTGTGACTTTATCTTAGGGAATAAGAAGAAGACGCAGGGGGCAATATTGGGGCTACAGGGTGGGTGGGGCATCGTTGGAATGCCCTCGATTTTCGCATTCGTTTATGGGTGAGAACTTTTGGAACCGTCTTTGCGCAAACCTATCGCATGTTCAAATTCTCGTGTAACATTTGGCGGATGGTTTCTTTGTTCATATTTAGCTCGTCAGACAATGCTTAGGCGCCGGTCACATGTTATCAGAGTCCGCAAACGGTCGACATTTGCGGCGGTACGAGAGGTTACGAGAGCCGCTTCACGTAGATCATCTTCTACTGATTCATGCTCTTCTTTGAACCGTTTTGCCCATTCAACCACACGTATTTTTGATATACACTTGTCTTCATACACCACCTGCAATTTTCGGAAGATTTCCGAGAGATATTTGCCAGATTTAACTAAAAAATGGATCACAACACGTTGCTTGTAATGACTATCACTCATTTTCACGACGTCACTCAAACACTTTCTTCCAAAAAGCACGCACAAAATTCAAACCACACGTACAGTCGACTCCAGTTTTGGACTGTAACTCAAAAAGAGGGCGGTTTTGCCGGTCCGAAGTTGACAGGTGACGCAGTGTTGAAAGACGTCAAGTTATTACTGCATTCCCGGAATTTTATTGGCACACCACGTATATTAAAATTTTCAACTGCCTTTTTACTTCTTTTGCCTACTGGCGATCCTGATCAATTTCGGAAAAATGTTGTAGGTATTAAAAATTGAGGATTGTAGGGGGTGGGGGAGGATATATCTCAATTTTTTATGTTGGTATATTTGTACGCCTCCAACCCCAGTAACTCTTCGAACATATCAGGCATATTTCACTCATCATAGATGTCCCTGTACATTTACCCTTAAAACTTAAAAATATACAGTCGGCTATTTGTAAAAACCTACGAAACATCAAAATAAAAGAAAAACAATTAAATGTCATCTTGCAGACTAGGTAGTTTTCAGGGTGCAAGTAGTCCATTCCATGTTTGCTCGCTATCATCGCTGTGAGCGTACCATCTATGGATGAATGACTCAACTACACGCATTGTTCGTTGCAGAAAGCAACTATATATTTTGTGAAGCCGAGTAGTCTGTAGTGTTTTTCCTTGAGATGTGAAAGAAAGAAAGTTGGTTGAATATCCAGGTCGCATCTGGATGATTATGTGTATTGGTCTGCATGTGTATAAAATCAGTGATATTTGCTCTGTGAGAAAATTATTACTGAAGATGCTGCCAATGAAGTATATCTATTAGCTGTGCCCGACGGGTTATTTAATATGTTGTCCTTTCTGAAGACAGGTTATGTTCAAAGTTATAAATTACGGTTTTTCCCGTTTTTTGTGTTTTTGATATTTTGAGGAGCACTACGGTAAATTGCCACCGCGCCCGCGTTTTGTGCATTTAAGCCAAATCACAGCAAAATTAGGAATGACGCATAACACAAACATTTTCGCAATGCCTCACATCTAGGCGCTGATTTGTACTTTCTATTGACATCGCAAAATAAATTTATATAAAATTTAAATGACTGGAAATAAAAAATGATATAATTACCTTTTCACTTTCATAAATATTCCTGCCTGTAGCATATTTTCTCACCTGTTACTTCACCAACCAAGGATTTTCTTTTCTTATCTCTCTTATTTTTGAAATTCAGCAAATTTGCATATGTAATTTCTAGAATGAATAAGAAAAAGTTGATGCGCAAATAATTTCTAGCTTTGATCTCAAGTGAGTGTATTTGAGACAAGAATCCAATGGAATTATCATCAACACATATTAATAGCACACCAATCCTCACTATGCACTGCCGTTTCCTTCTAGCTATTGTATACAACTTACAGCTTAGACCTTCAATAATGGCATCCCTGAAGCAGATTTTACATCACATCAGAGCCAAATATTGATCACTTGAGCATCATGACGTTTATGAAACACGTACATCTACAAAACGAGTTCGCAACAAGTGTCCATCAGCTAGTGCTTAATTGACATCTTGTAGAAAAACCTACATGATGTCACAAAAAACAATACGTCATAAAAAATCGACTTAATGTCACTTTTCAAGATACGTAATACCCGTTCCGGTGTCGATGGACAAGCGTTATCGGTAGTCGTACGTTATAGTCGGCAATCGCTACTGTGGGCTGCGTGAACTGTGCATGGTGACGGCCAATGTCGTCATTCACGCGGCATTGGTCATCGCAACGATCATGTGCACCTGCAGCAATTCGTCTCAGAGGCAGGAGGAAGGTCATTAAATCTACGTGTTCGTGGCTAACTTTTTTCTCAGAAGGAGTAACTTGTGGCAAACATATTCCTTCACGAACTGGTGACAGCGTAGCGTGGAAAGTACAGAGTCAACTTACTTGACGCCATTTGTTAGGTTAAAATATAGTATTCATGCATCATTACCCCGAAGTCCAGCTTGCTGCCTTAATTCGTTTAGAAAATAATTAGGGAGGGGGACTTTTAGACAAGCACCATATATATACTGCTTCGTGTCAATCGGATTTAAAAATGCATACAGGAAGGTAATAATAATTATTCACAGTGGGTAAGTGTTTGTTCCACATCCGTCGAACTGTATTTTTGTTGTAGAAGAATAAAATTGTTTTAGCGAACGGAACACATAACGCTGTATGGCTGGAAAGTGAAATTGAAAGAGAGATAAGATCGCCTTTGTCCCATAAAATGAAAAATTCAGCTTCCTCCTCCGCTTTCTGGTTCTTTTGTTATCGGACGGAGGGCGTTGCACTTCATTTGCATATTAGAAACGTTTATTAATTTTGTGGTTACAAATTTACACGAGGCGAAAAGTTTACATTCGTCGGAGAAAATTTCCGGCTTGGCTATGTAATACGTTGACCGTCAACTACCTTATATCTCGTAGGTTGTTTACCTGCCCAGGACGTCAAGTACGAAATATATCGTAGTATCTGGTAGATGGCTTCCGCGAACAGATTTCTGTTACATAAGTTAACTTTTTTTTTATAAAACAGTTTGTAAGCTTTTTGATGATTGATATGTACAAAAATAAGCGGTCGTAGTTGCACATACCTCCTTCATTTCCAGCCCTCCAAATATACCGAATTGCAACGTCGCATTAGCGCCTAAGAATTTAGGTGGCGAAATTATATGGACTATAGAAGAGTCTCTGTCGTTAAAACAGTTTTTGGCGATGTGTCTGAAATTATATTGTGGTATCCAAAATCCTACATGCAGCTTAACTGTGGTGTCTGAGATATAGCAGGTAGTGAAGAGGAAAGTAAACATCCAGGTAATGAAGGTCACCTGCAGATAGTTGACCGCAGATCACAGTCAGGAGTGTTTTACGTGTCGCCAAACTAGCAGGAAGCAGGGTGCTGATATTTCTATGCCCCGCTAATGATGTAAAGGCGCGTATTATTATTCCAACATATTTGGAATTTGAGACATTGTCGCTTTAGTTGTAACACCATGAAACTCAAAACATTAACTTATGTATTTACTTGAAAAAGCCACCGTGATTCCCGGAACGTCATCAGTAGGCATTATTATCATATGAAGTTTAATTTGCGACTAGAAAAACATGGAGGACTATAAGATGATTCGATAGTGAATCCAAAGACCCACCATTCTTTTTGCTCTCCTAAAAAGTTATTAGTTTTAAGGTACATCGTGCTGGAAGTCTTTTTATTGAACAACTAAATTTTTGTGATTCATGAGTGGGTAGGAGCAAAAATACGTTAGAAATTTGTTATTTAGTTTTACATCCTACGTCAATGAGCAAAGGCAAACATTTTCAAAGTATTTTGAGTTTTATATTTTTATAACGTTTCATGATATACCCAAAAAGTATGGGTTCCTTGTTGCAACATCGGCTGTAGATTATTCAACTATGTTGCGAGAAAATAGATGTCATGTTCCATTTTTTTATTTAATTTTTTGCTCTTCAGTCTATACATTATTCATGTTCACCCAAAAATAAATACGAACAGTTAGAAAACAAAGTGATTGTTCTCATCTACACTGAAAAAGCTTTTAGGATGTAAGCACAAAGTTTGGAGAATCTGCTTTCTTATGTGGTGACTAACTTTAGCGCCCTTACACCCATTTTCAAACTTGTTGCCGTACGATAATACATTCCAAGCTCTGTTAGAATCATTATAGCAGTTACTGAGATTGCACAGTGTCAAGTAAACGAGAACCAGACAGGTGGGTTATCGCAATGGGTGGAACGCTAAAGCACCTACTTTTCAAGCCTATTTTCCGGAAAATGCTATGTATCATATATCGTTTAGACAGTAAAAATAATAATAATAATATGGATTACCCTATATAAACACAATTACTCTATGACATGCCAAACTACGTGTTACTCTGGAGAAATCAATTAAAAGTAGGGAATAACCCATTCTGATGAACCAGTCGCCAGTAACCCTTCTTCACTTTATTGGAGTATTATTATCTTGGTAGCCTACAGGCAGTAAATCATAAAGAAAAAAAAACCTATTGTTGAATGTAAAGCTGGAGATACACGCTAATAATATGCATAGCAGCCTGGTTTACTAGCTATTATGGATTTTCAGATTCATGATTCCGCCACTGTATAATCTAAATGAAAATTTTAGTGAGCAAATCATAATCAACTGTCCCTCTGTGTCTCTACCCACACTCCGCCGATACATGACGCGAATCTATATCGAAATTCTCCCAGCGATTGAAAATCTTCATTCCAGCTAGGGTCTTTGAGTTCTTACCTTTTGTCTTTCACCCATAAGCAATTCGTCTATAAAATGCTCAAGTTGATGATTCCTTTATTACCAACGGCAGATTTGAGGGTGGAAGGAGTTGCGGCGGTTTTTAATATAATGATATATCATCTTTCCTAGTTTTAAATCGTCATAACACAAGAGATGGAAATATGAAATTTACACACTCTTTAAAGTGTTTTGAAGGGTACTCCATGTAAAATTTCTCTAAGAATCCTGGTTACTACGCTCAAAACTCTTATTGTTATTGTAACCTGTTTATCGTATGTCCTTTCGGTATACATTAGCTTGTATGTTTAGCTTTTGCTTAAGGGTTAAATAGAAAAATACGACTTTTTCTAGCTACTTTGTGAGCCAAAACACAAAATATAGCTTTTTCCTTTGAGGTGCCGCGCCGCCGACTGTATAGGCGTACCCGCTGCTTGTTCCATATCCACATTCATAAGAAAAAATTACATGGATTACTCCTAATACCTAAAATTTAAAAGATTATTTTGTTTGTCAAATGTCTGGTAATGTTTTATGACTAAAAAAGATAATTTCTTTGATCAATGCATTAATATGTAAATTGACAAGGACTTATTCATTTCCTATTCACTTCGTCGCCGCCGCTGGATCAGTGCAATCCCAAAGATATTAGAGAGAAG